CTAGGCCCCGCAACTTTGGCGCGTATAAGGCCCGCGCTGAGGGACCACCCCTTGCGCACCCCTTTTGGTGTCGAGAAAGGGCCAAACATGCTAGGCCCTGCGACATTGGCGCGTATAGAGACCGCGCTGAGGGACCACCCCCTGCGCACCCCCTCTGGTGTCGAGAAAGTAGCACGCCTGCTGGGCCCTGCAACATTGGCGCGTATAGGGACCGCGATGAGGAACCACCCCTCTGCGCACCCCCTCTGGTGTCGAGGAAGTGCCGCGCCTGCTAGGCCCTGCGACATTGGCGCGTATAGAGACCGCGCTGAGGGACCACCCCTTGCGCACCCCCTCTATTGCCGAGAAAGTACCACGCCTGCTCGGCCCTGCGACATTGGCGCGTATAGAGACCGCGCTGAGGGACCACTCCCTGCGCACCCCCTTCTGGTGCCGAGAAATTGCCACGCCGGGTGGGCGAAGCAACATTTGCGCGCATCGAGACCGTGCTGAGGGACCACCCTCTGGGCACCCCCTCTGGTGCCGAGACAGTGCCACGCCTGTCAGGCCCTGCAACATTGGCCTGTATAGAGACCGCGCTGAAAGACCACCCCCTGCGCACCCCATCTGGTGCCGAGAAAGTACCACGCCTGCTCGGCCCTGCGACACTGGCGCGTATAGAAACAGCGCTGAAGGACCACCCCCTGCGCACCCCTTCTGGTGTCGAGAAAGTGCCACGCCTGCTGGGTCCTGCGACATTGGCGCGTATAGAGTCCGCGTTGAGGGACCCTCCCTTGCGCACCTCCTCTGGTGTCGAGAAAGTGCCACGCTTGCCGGGCCCTGCGACATTGGCGCGTATAGGGACAGCGCTGAGGAGCCACCCCCTGCGCACCCCCTCTGGTGTCGGGGCAGTGCCACGCCTGCTGGGCCCTGCAACATTGGCGCGTATAGAGACCGAGATGAGGGACCACCCCCTGCGCACCCCCTCTGGTGTCGGGAAAGTGCCGTTGGCGCGTATAGAGACCGCGCTGAGGAACCACCCCTCTGCGCACCCCCTCTGGTGTCGAGACAGCGCCACGCCTGCCCCTGCGACATTGGCGAGTATAGAGACCGCGCTGAAGAACCACCCCTCTGCGCACCCCCTCTGGTGTCGAGGAAGTGCCGCGCCTGCTAGGCCCTGCGACACTGGCGCGTATGGAGACCGCGCTGAGGGACCACCCCCTGCGCACCCTTTTTGGTGCCGAGAAAATTCCACGCCTGCCCCCTGCGCACCCCTCTCGTGTCGAGAAAGTACCACGCCTGCTGGGCCCTGCGACATTGGCGCGTATAGACCGCGCTGAGGGACCCCCCCCTGCGCACCCCCTCTGGTGTCGAGAAAGCAATGCTGAGCTGTGCTGAGATGAGCTGTGCTGTGCTGAGCTGTGTGTGTGTGTGTGCGATTGGCTTCGCGCTGGTAAAGGAAAAAGGCGGAGGAGGAGGAGGGGAGGTGAGGGAGACGCGGGCGCGACGCGGCGAGAAGAAAACCAGAAGCCCACGAAACATGTGGGGAAAAACGTGTCTGGCTTACCGGCGTCGATGAACCGCTAGGATGGCCGTCAGGAGGCCGCGACGCGGCCCTCGGGCTGCCTCAGACGCCCTCCCAGCGGTCCAGGGGGCCTCACAGAAGGCAATCACATGTCCCGAGACGGCCCCAGGCACCTCAAAACCGCCTCAAACCGGCATGTGTCGACTCTAATGGGGGGCCGCCGGCAAGCCCAAGACTACCCAAGTACGCCCCAAGACCACCATGACAGCCCCAGACCTCCAAAGACGACCCGACACTCTGGACAATCCGAAGAGCCTCAACTAAGCAACGCAACCACAATAGTATGCTGCAGAAGCGCATCGAAGCAATGCGATGGTGATGCCGCAAGCAAAACTGGCGAACACACGCGCAGCGTCCACACTTAATAAAGTACACCAGAGTCTGACCCATACGAAAACCTGTACTGAAGGACTGCTTTGCAATGTCAGCATAACGGTATGCCACGTCTGCTCCCCACATAAGCGCAGCAATGCACACAATACGAACTGCCTGAACTGACCCGACATGGGATCGATCACATCACCAACAATTCAGACGCTCGATGCGTTGATTGTTATCCGACACGCTCGCGTAACATACTACCCCGACGGAGGTTCGTGGTCCCGAATCACACGCCTCCACAAAGCAGCTGACATTAATGCAGCGGGCCCTGGCACGCCCGCGAGGAGCCCGAAGTCCGTGCAAGCGCGATGCCAGAGAGCAAGACTTGCCCCTCGCAAGAACACGGTCGACGTGGACTCCAGGTTGGAACTTCGACACCCCCCTACCCGGATCGCCGAGAAGCGCATCCGAAGAGCGGAGGGCCGACCCGTTGGCAATTCAACAAAAAGCAAGATGGGAGGTCGCGGAAAAGAGGGACGCCCCGGACTCGGACCCCAGCCCGTGGGCGAGCTCGCTCACTGCCCACCCGCCGCCCACCGGCGCCAGCAGCGCTGGCAGTAGACCTCGCCCTGGTAGGCGCCGAGGCCCTCCCAAGCGCCGCTGGCGTCGGCCCCGCACTGCCCGCAGAAGCCGCGCTTCGCACGCCGTGCTCCGTGCGCGATTAGCGCGCCCGCGGAGCCCATCAGCCGGCGCGGAGCGGGGGGGCACAGGCTGCCGCCGGCACCTGGCTGCCGCGACACGCGGGAGGCCCGTAGGGCGCCAGCGGCCAGCGTCTGGACGAGAGGCTGCCAGCCGCCACCGAGCCACGGCGGCGGGCCCTCGCCCAGGTCGATCTGCGCGGCCGCCCGACCGGGCTGCGCCCTCGTGGCACGCAGCACGCTGGGCGCGCGGGCTGGGCCGCTCGCGCTGCCTCCCCCCGCGTCCGCGAAGAGCAGGCTGGGCTCCACGTAGCTGTCCCAGGCGACGCGCGCGCCCGCCGCCTCGACCACTGGAGCGAGCAGCGCGGCCAGCGCCGACAGGTCAAAGGACACGTGGCCCCCCACGGGCAGGGCGAAGAGGCCCGAGCTGAGGATCTGGTGAACCAGGTCCAGCGCGTCCCACGCGCCGGCAGAGCCGCCCAGGAGGATGTACGACGTGAGGCTGCCAGGGTGCAGCGAGCAGCGGGCCCTGTTGCCGACGGCGAAGATGCAGAGGCCGACCACGGCGCCGCCGACGTTGCCCGTCAGAAGCCGGCAGGTCACCACCGTCAGCTCGCCCACGAGCGCCAGCCCCAGGCCACTCCGCCGCAACTCGAGCGCCTCGGCACACGTCGCCCGATACAGGGGCAGACACGCGCCCTGGAACGCCCCGCAGCCACCAGGGCCTCGGGCGCCGAGCTCTGCCTCTGCCCCCGCGCTCCCCAGGATGAACTCGCCCCAGTCCACAAGCCTCTGAACTATCTCCAGCGGCGACTGCGCCCACGAGAGGAACCATGGATCCGATGATGTAGCGGATATGGCCTGCGTTGCCTGTGGTGCCCGCGGCGCCTCTTCGAGCGGCCTGGCGGCCATAGTGAAAGCGGGCCTCGGAGAGGGGCAAGTGCTCGTCCTTGAACCGCGAGCGTCCAATGCAAAAAGAGCAAGTTTCAGAACAGGGGGGCCGAGAGGCATCACACTGATCCTGGGTTTGTGGTTCAGCCCTCGTTTTGGATGGAGCATGTGCTGTTTATTCCTCTCCTGCCGCCTCCTTTCGTCTCCTCTCTCCTCTGTCTAGGGGAGGACAGCAACGAGGAGGAGAGATGACGGGGAGGGACGTGTGCCCACGGCCCCCTGCGCGCTGCCGAAAGATAACCTGGCGCGGCCGACGGGCAACTTTCACCTCATAACCCACACCACGTGCATCACACAACGTAGTTCACACCGTGTGGCTAACACCACGTAGCTTACACAACACATCTCACACTGCATAGTTTACACAAGCGAGCGTACTCCTTATAGATCGCACCACGCAGCCTACACAGCACAGCCAACATCGCAGTGTACACGACACAGCTTGCACCACATACCTCACACCCCAGAGCTTGAACTACACAGATTACGCCACACAGCTCACGCAGCGTGCAAGAGCTGACTGTTCTTGGGCGCACGCTGGCTGACATTCTTGACCAATTTGGTGGATACGTCGGGCGTGGCTTCGGCTCGTGCCCGCGCTGGAAGGGTATCTCGAAGTTCCGCCACGGCGCCCGCCTCTGGGCGCCCCGCGATAGGGGGGAAGTGTGCCGCAGCTTCGCCTGCTGCCCGCCCGTGGGGAGTCTCGTGGGCGCACCGCGCCACGAAGAGTGTGCGGTGGTTTCGCCTCCTCCTCCTCCTCCTCCTCCTCCTCCTCCCCCTCCTCCTCCTCCTCCTCCTCCTCCTCCTCCTCCTCCTCCTCCTCCTCCTCCTCCTCCTCCCCCTCCTCCTCCCAGTCTGACAGAGCGTGATTTCTGCTGTCCGCCCGTGCCCGCCCCGATAGCTTGCACCACGTGGACTCTCGCGTCAAAAGACGACTACCACCCGCGCCCAAGAAGGTTACCCGCTCACTCGTGCCAGCGTATTGGCAAGTTTCTGCGCGCCTGCCTCCTCCATCATTTTGAAATTGCAACCAGACCATCCGAGCCAAACCAGTATCGCCTTCCCTCCGTCATCCCTGTCAAATAATACCATGCGCACGCACTCGATTATCTCAATACACACATGTTGAATAACCCTTCTCGTCAAGCTCTCAAGCGTCCACACTCGCGCGCACATGTCGACATCACACCAACCACATAAATTGTGGAAACATTTCAACATGTAGAACATCAAACAACACTTGCTTATCGATGCAATGCTGGCCACGCGAACTTGCTGAAACCAGCAATCAACCGCCTGCATTCAACAGCTTTGGTAAAGTCATCGTGCTACCACAAGGAACGCTGAACAACTAACGAAGGGGCTTTTCTGGCCACGGCAAGCCTCGGCCCGAAGACGTCCCCCGACGTACATCTAAGGCGCGGCCCGAAAGCAAGAGCCCCTCCTGAGCCCAACCCGGTCCTTATTTCAACTTTCTGACTGTACGTCCCGGGGTGACTACGCGCCGCCTGATAGATGAACCAACGCGCACGCGCCTCTCTGCAGGGTCCTATGCCGTGACCGGGCGGCGAACGACAGACAGCTAACTCGCGTGCCTACCCGATGGAAGATCGAAAGCAGCGGAGAAGGACGGCGAAGGGTGAGCAGCTGCGCAGATCGAGGACACCCTAGAGAACCCTAAGGCATCACCAGAACCTCTTCCCTCTGGCCGCTGAGGTTGCAATGCCCTCGTGGCGACATACTGGAGAGTGCTCACGCGCTGCGCCAGAGAGGTGCACGAAAGCGGCCCGCAAACCTCCATGGCCCAACGCTCACCCACGGTCGATGAAGGAGTTCCACCATTCACCGGACTCTCCGGAGGCCCCAGCAGGGAGTGGCGCTCCTGTGGGTGGCCCCAGCTGCTGCTGCTGCTGCTGCTGCTGCTGCTGCTGCTGTTCTCTCGACGACTGCTCGGCAGACGGCTGCAGCTGCGGCTGCATCTGCTGCGGTCGCATGGGCTGCGCCTGCTGTGGCGACGGCGATTGCTGCGCCTGCATCTGCGGGTGCATCATCTGCTGCTGCTGCTGCATCTGCATCTGCGGGTGCATTTGTTGCTGTGGATGCATCTGCTGTTGCGTGTGCTGCGCGGGCATCTGCTGCTGCGTTTGCTGCTGCTGCATCTGTTGCTGCATCTGCTGCTGCTGGAGGAGGTGCTGCTGCTGCATCTGCTGCTGCTGAAGCATCTGCTGCTGCATGAGCTGCTGCAGCTGCTGCTGCTGCTGAGCGGCCTGCTGCTGCTGCAGACCCGCCTGTGGTGGGGCAACCGGGTACTGGCCGCCCTGCTCCATACCGGTGCCAGGCGCGCTGGGCGGCTGAGCGTAGGGCTGCTGCTGACCAGGCGGTGCTGCTCCTAGCGCTCCTGGTGCGGCAGCCGGCCGAACCGCCTGCTGCTGCACGGGAGCTGCCTGAGCAGCGCCAGCGCCGCCCTGAACCCCGATGGAGATGCTGAGGGTCCCCGTCTGCTCCGGCTTGGGCGCCTTCTGCTTGAAGAGCGGGACCTGCACCTGCTTGTTCCCGGCCGACGCCTGGCTCCACAGCAGGTCCAGGTCGAAGCCGCCCTCCCCACAGAGCACAGCGCCGCGGAGCTGGCGGCTGATCATCACCTTGAACTTCAGGGTCTTCTTCCCAGGGCCCGCGCCACGACCGCAGACGAAGCGCTCGTTCCACCTGGGGGCGAGGTTGCCGTTCTCGCACACCTCGGTCTTTCCGACCACCTTCTCGGATCCGTCCGCGTAGCAGCAGACGAGCTCCACGTACACGTCTTGACTCGGGCTCAGGCTGTCAAAAATCCTGGCCAACCTCCCATCGACGATGACGATGCAGAGCTGCGTTGCCATCCTGCGCCGTCCCTCGGCAACGTCAAGGGATGCGGTGCTGCCGCCCAGTGGCGGCCCAGCGCGCGGGCGGGCCACTCGACACCAACGCTACAACGGCTACGGATTCCGCGGCGCGGATCCTCGAGGTCGCGTTCTGGAGGGTACAGTCGGGACCGATTGCACAGGACACCGAGTCTCCTCCAAGGGCAACCGACGCTCCAGACCTGAGAAGGACGCGGAACGCGACATTCAGAAAACAGGGACGCCCCTGAATGACTGCAAGGGTCGACCTACGAGTCTGACCCGACTGCACTAATTACTGAAAGTCTTCCTGCCAGGTGTCCACAATGGTTCTCTCGATCGACGCGTGATCTCGACGCTCGCACCCCCGCTTCTGCCCAGGATGACCCTGACTGCCATACTGGGTCCCTGAGCCCCAACTGCAACAACGACACTGATGTTACCCATATTGTTCAATACTTCTACATGCGCCATGCACCCAATGAACCATGCTCCCGTCCATAAGGTGAGATGCCATTTCAAGGAGCATGTGAGATCTACCGCGCCCAGAGACATCACACCCCGAGAGGTCATGCCAGCAACTCTTCCGAATTACCTTGCTGTCTCCAGCTCGAATTATACGAGGGTGCCAAATTCGCACCAGAGCCAAGAGAGGCCTCAGAGCATCTGAAAGATGCCCATAAACTTCTGTGAGAGGCCTGCGAGCCTCTGTGGGAGGCCTCAAAGCCTCTGAAAGACGCCTCAGACCCATTGTGGGAGGCCTCGGCGTCTGTCGGGGGATGGATGGGGGAATCAGGGAGGGGGGGGAGGACGAGGAGCACAAGGAGAAAAAACATGGGGATGACACAAAGACAAACGATTCCGGAGAAGGCTGAGGAACAGGAGGAGCCAGCGGAGGAGGGGCAGAGGCAGGACAAGCATGGGGATGGTACGTAGCACCCCGCAATTGCGGATAAGAGTGAGGGGGCGGGCGCGGGCGACGCGGGCGTCGTCGAGCCGGCGGGCCTCGTGGCCCCCACCTTCCCTGTCGATGGCGCTGTCCTCTTCCTCCTCCTCCTCCTCCTCCTCTTCCTCCTCTTCCTCGTCCTCGTCCTCATCGTCATCGTCATCCTCCTCCTCCACCTCGTCCTCCTCCTCTTCTTCCTCGTCCTCCCTCTCCCCCCCTCGTCCTTTCTTCATCGTCCTCCCATTGTCGTCCTCCCCCTCATCGGCCTCCACCATCGTCCTCCCATTGTCGTCCATCATCATCATCATCATCATCATCATCATCATCATCATCATCATCATCATCATCATCATCATCCTCCTCCTCCCCCTCCTCCCCCTCCTCGTCCTCCTGCTCCTCCTCCTTTTCTTTCTCCACATTATCCTTACATCCTCTCTTCTTCCGCGTTCTCCTCGTCCCCTGTTTACTCCTCCTGCCTCCCCCTCCTTTCCCAAGATAACTGCAACGCAATCCTTTTTTCCACTTTATGATCCCCGCCTTCTTTGATTAAGGCAACTCGCCAGGGCAGAGTTGCTGGACGGGCTGGTGTGGATGCGCGGGGCTTGAAGAGGTCCTTGCGGGCTCAGGCGGCATGCAAAAATCCGCCGCCGCGCTACCTCCACCTGGAAGGAATGCAAAAGCAGCCCGCCGCAGGGCCAACAAAAATTGGTTTGTACACTGAACGTGGTTTGGGTCGCGGGTGGGCCGCGGGTTCTCCACCGGGAACGAATGCAAAAAAAGCCCGCCGCAGGCGCCGAAAATGGTGGTTTGTACCTTGAACGCGGTTTGGGTCGCGGGTGGGTCGCGGGTGGGTCGCGGGGTAGGTCGCGGGTGGGTCGCGGGTGGGTCGCGGGTGGGTCGCGGGTGGGTCGCGGGTGGGTCGCGGGGTGGGTCGTGGGTGGGTCGCGGGGTGGGTCGCGGGGTGGGTCGCGGGGTGGGTCGTGGGTGGGTCGCGGGTGGGTCGCGGGTGGGTCGCGGGGTGGGTCGCGGGTGGGTCGCGGGTGGGTCGCGGGGCGGGTTGCGGGTGGGACGACGACAACAAACAACAACAAATAACAACAACAACAACAACAACAACAACAACAACAACAGCAACAACAACAACAACAATCATTTAAGACTGGGGACACTCCGTTCTCACCAGTGCCAGGGTTTTCATAGGAGGCGGGCAATACCCCCACTTTGTGGGGGGGCCGGTTCAAGCTCTACCAAATTTCCAAACGACTCTTCGCCACCACCCACACCCAGCTTCCCGCCCTATGACGTTCGGACACTTCACTTCGTGGCATGCGGACGACCGTGGCTACTATTCAGGGCCCCGCGGCCGACGACGACGGCGTGCGCGCGCGAAGAAAAAACGAATGTGTCCCGCATGGTATTATTTGACAGGGATGATGGCCCTGGCAGGTGCGCAACCGTTGTTGCAGAAGTTCGAAAAAGTTGCTCGCAAAAGCCCGTTTGACAGAAATGTTTAAAAAGTGTTGGGTTTCCTACGAATCCGCAAGAGCGCGCGGGATGAAATTTCGACAATTTTTTTTTGAAAAACCATTGGTTTTTTGATGTTTTTATGTTAAAATCGCTACGAAAACTAAGGTTTTGGAAGGATTTCGTCTTGCGCGCGCGAATGTCCACTTTACCTTATTTTTGCAAGGGATTCTTGAAGTTTGGATATGTTAGAACAAGAAATTTCATTTTATAATGTTTTTTGCAAGGGAAAGCGGGCGTCAACAAAACAACCGGATCTGGATGACATCGTTTTACCTGAGACTTCCTCACGAAAATGATGAAAATGAGGCTGCGGCCTAGGCGCGGCGGGGGGGTCGCGCACCAGGGGCCCCAACAATAATTATTCTTAAGAAGAAATAATGTTCAACATCAACAACAACAACAACCAACAACCAACAACCAACAAACAACAAACAACAAACAACAAACAACAAACAACAAACAGCAAACACAACAACAACAACAACAACAACAACAACAACAACAACAACAACAACGAGAATCCGCACCGCGGAATTCTACTTCAGCCACGCACCCAGGGACAGTGAATGACCGTTCGGCCCCCTCACTCTGATAAAGACAGCGGATGAGAAAGATCAGAAGGATGACTTCGGAAATCAACCGACTGCAGATTTTTGAGACTCGGTTGAGTCGCGGGGCCCCAGACCCTCTGACCCCTTCCCCGTGACAACTTTCTCGTCCTGAGCGTTTCTTAATCGACCCGATGCCCAAAGACGGCCTCAACATCCCCCAAACTCTGGCTCAACATGTTTGAGTCCCTGAGGGTTTGGGACAGCAAAGACGCCGCCACGAGATAGGCGACCATGTGCGAACCGTTTCCCTGCAGCTCAGAATTCTGAGAGAACCCCTGGGGAGTCAGAATTTGAAGCACGCCTGCAGCCAGGTGAGCTCCAGCAATGGGCGCCCGACACCCAGGCGTTGGCTGGACGTGCAGAGCTCGCTAGTGGTCGCAGCCCCAGGGATATGATGTCTTATTCTTTTCGATACGGGGTTCCCAAAAGTCCCGACCCCTTTCCCCAGGAGCCGGCTTCCCATCCGGAATAATTCTTGGACGGCCCCGCGGCCCAGCAAGGGCCCCCAGAAACCGAACACTGCGAAAACAACCTGCGCCTTGACTTCTCAAGGCGCTGGACGTGTCTGGTTTTCGGATCACGACTCGGGCCGCAGGCGGCTGTTCGGGACGATCCAGGCAGACCCAGAAAACGCTCGAAGAGGCACCGCTGCTGGAAATCATTCAGAGGGAAGGAGAACTCCAAGAACCAACGAGCCTCCTCTCCAGGCACAAGCGGAAACGAACACCTCCTCCAAGAAGCAACGATAAACGGTCTGGTGCGGTAGGGTCCTCCAATGTTGTGCTGCATCTTCGGGGGAACTTGTCTGTCCCGTCGCGCTGGTATCCGCTTCGATTCCACTTCGATCGTCGAATGCATGTCGAATCCGCGTCGAGTCCACGCCGAACCTGCGTCGAGCCCGCGCCTGTCACAGGAACAGTCAACAGTTCACCGGGCAGACAACGTCCCCCGAAGCTGCAGCGCACGGTCTGGAATGTCTGCTTATGGCGTGTCGCAGCGGCGGCCCCTGCAACACGCTGCACCGTGCGAGCGGATAGCGTGTCGCTCCGCTCCGCGGGGCCAGGGAATGGGAAAAGCTCGGGACTTTGAGACCTGGGGACAGGGATGTGGATAGCCCGTCGCGCCGAGGCATGGTGGTCCAGAGCTGGCGGAGAGACACGTCAACCAAAAGTTCCCCACCGCAGCCCAGACATCCGGTGCATTTCTTTTGTCCACACGCGGTCTCTGGAAGTCCCGACCCGTTCCCCAAGACTGGCTTTTCATCCCGAATCGCTTTTTGACGGTCCTGGGGCCTGGCGAAGGCCCGCGGAGGCCGAAAACAGCGAAAAGCTTCCTAATCGCATTATTCCGTACGTTGGAGGTCTGTAGAGGACTCCTGGATGGGATCCGAGTAGATGTGGTCGAAGGATCGCGCAGCATCGCCGATGCATCGGCGATGCATCGGCCATGCACTGGCGACGTCGGCGACGCATCGGCGACGTCGGCGTGGAGCAAGACGGGCTCCACATCGAGCCGCATCGGCGATGCATCGGCGATGCGGCGCGATCCTCCGACCCCATCTACTCGGATCCCATCTGGGAGGCCTAGATTTAGGTCGGGCATGTCCCCCTACAGGCAGATTTTGAACGAAAACAACAAACGCTCTAATATTGTCAAAACTAGTCGAAAATTGGTCCCCGGACTATTTTTAAAAACTATTTTTTGAATGTTCATCCTGTAGAGGGACGCGCCCGACTTCAGCCCAGATCCATACGCTCAAGGTCTGGGAGCCCGTGGTGGCGCAGAGCGGGGGTCCTGAGCCGAGAGGCTGGCGCGCTCCCCCGCCCGGATCGCCGCGGCAAGCTGGGCGATGTCCCTGGCGGCCACGGCCTGGCCCCCGCGCGCCGTCTCGGGGGCTGCGTGCTTCCACCAAGCTCCGGCGGCCGGGAAGCCCCGGCCTCAGCCGCAGCCGACACGAGGGAGCCTGTGTCTGATGATGTTGCTAGCCAGCATGTAAGAAGATAGCAGCTCCGATTCGCAGCTTTCCCCCGCCATGAGAGTTCGGCCTTGCCGCCCCTCTCCCCCGACCAACTCTGTCTTGGCCGGGGATGATCAACTCCCAGGGGTTAAGAGGTGGGGGGATGATTGATTGCCTGGGGCATGCTGTTGTTTGCATGGCGTTCGCACCCCCCCTCTCGCGAACACTAACGTGTGAGTGCCTTTCGACTTGCGTGATTTCCGCACGTGCAAATCGTTTGCGGCCTGCTTCAGGTTCAGGCCCCGCCCCGTCCATGCAAGTAAACTTGCCGGGGTCTAAAAAAACAAGCTCGAAGGGGGGGGGGGCTCGGTTCGCTGTCTGGCATTCTTCGTTTCGAAGATCGAGGTTCGGGCGCCCAACATTGGTACGGAAAACATGGGCACGATACACAACAGCAGATGCTGCCCAACACCGACAAAGGCCGCTGTTGGGCATGCGGCCTTCTGACTTAAATGGACAACGTCCGCGGCGACGCCGACAGCGACTCCTGTTCGTTCGAAATGGAGAGGAACTGCTGTCGGTTTTCGTACCCGTTCATTCCGTACCCACTCCGTTCGTTCCGATAAAATGTCTGGCGCTCCTGGCCCGTCCTGGCCCTCCTCGTCGCCGCGGCCAGATCCGCCTCGGAAAACTAGTCGGTCTGCACCCCGCCGACTTCTCGCACGGACCGACCACGCCATGTGCGGACAAGAACTAGAAATTCTGACCTCGGCGCTGGTGCGGCGGTGCGCGGAGAAGGGCGAGCGCAGAGGGCATGCTGCGGCCTCCCTCCTCCAAGGGTGGGGAAAGCGGTGCGGCCAGTTGGCTGAGAGGCGGGGATTCATCCATGACCACCCACCTAGCAGGCGGTGACTATGGATACACTTCCCCTCCCATCGGCCCAACTATTCCTTTTTTAATATTCTTACCAGCGGGGGGGGGGAGAACCCCCATTTCAAAATTCTTCAAACAAAAAACCTGGATCCGTGGCCCTGGGGGGGCCCTGGACG